ATTTTGGTAAGTTCATAAAAGCAGTCATATAACAATAGAGAAAAAGGGCCTCGTGGGAGACGATGACTAGGTGCAGGACATTACCTTTTATAGGCTGCTACTGAGGAACCATCCATATGGGAATAGGTTACCCTCCATGTTTTGGCAGAGCAATTTGTTCCTAATCCTAGCGGCAAAGCGGGAGAGAACAGAAACTCACCTGTGTGCAAGCACTATGTATACCTTAAATTGTAGGCCAGATGCTTTAAAGAAATGTTAAGACTTACTCCATGCGTAAGATGCATTAAGCTGTTCCAGAAACTAATTCTACCTTGTGGATTCTTGACTTGTGGAGAAGTGGAGTAAATTACCGTAGAGTGCTTAAATGATGGAACTTGCAGTATCAAAGCTCAGGCTCTCTAGGCATCACACTGCGCTGTGTCTCTAGTACCTCTCAGCTTCTCTATAAAGTACCTCAGACTTGATTGTACTTGAATGCCTAGACACTATGAAGGGTACAGTAGGACAGTCTAGCTGAAAACTAAAAATAAACATACACATCCTCATCCACATACAAAGCCTCTCTACTTAAGAGTGTAGAAGCCCCTCTGAAAAAGGACTTGAAAAATTGACCATAACTGTATGGAATACCCTGAATGGGAAAACTCTAACATGGCAAGGGCAAGAAACACTCTCTGCAAAACTGTCTGACTTTAGAACATCTTTTTGCCTGAAGCCAGAATTTTATGCTTTATAGAATATACACTGCACAGTTGTAACCATTGAGCAAAAAGGCATTTCCCCTCTCATCTAGTAGTATTTGTTATATATCTAAGCCATCTGCAGCCTGTGGAATACTCATTATAGCAACTGCAAAAGCATTGTTCCCTGTTTCATAGAAAACACTGAATAAGAAAGCTCATCAGTACACTGAAATTATAGTTTTAATGCACAGGCATTGTAAATTAGTTAGCTTCATCAGAACTGAAATTCATATGGAAAGCACTTTAAAAAATTCTGCTCATGGTTATTTCTCTGCTGTACATATGCATATATTAAGACCACTAAATGGCAAAAAGCTTGTGATTATGAAGACTGCTATACATCGTTTTTATCACAAGGTGGTGCAGATGACCTACAAACACATTCACTTTACAAAAGAGCTTTGACAACACTTGCTTTATCAAGCTAATAAGGCATTTGTAACACATTAAAAAAAAAAATAATACTCTCCACCCCCCGACTCACAATTCGGTGCATTTCTTGCCTCTGAATGTTTTTTCAGCCTAATTTAGAAGTTTCTAAACTTTTCAACAGGCTGTTAGCTGGAAAATGGCTCTTGAAGCTATCAAACTCTTCTTTTACATATACTCGAGCACTTTGAGAAGCAGGTGTCACTGATACGCTGTTTACTTAATTCCCCAAGCTTGAGGAGTAAGGGGACACTTTCCAAATATAAATTAACTCTCTACTCCAGAAACTCTGGATTTATGCATAGAATACCAATAAACCAAAAAGAGCTTTGTGTATTTTATATGCAGCAGGTCTTTGATATAAAATACCTATTACCATCCCTAACTGCATTTAAATGCACTTCCACAGCAACCTGAGACAGAACTGGTATGGTAACTCAGATGCAGCATCATTTTTTTGGCAGATACCTCAGAGAAACTTCAGTAGTATTCTGTATTCCTATCAGTAGTATATGTCCACTACAATGAATCTGGATAGAGCGTCTAATTCTCTCTCCAAATGGAACACCTGGCTGTGAAACAGCTTACTGCTCCAAAAATCATATTATATCAATTTGCAGCTGTGCGATTGATGTTTATTACAACTGCTTCCTTGATCTTAATATTTTGTTGCATCTTTGACATGACATTTTATGTATAAAGTAATAATATATTTGCACATCACTGACAAAGGATGACTGAAGATTTTTATATAAACAAAAAGATAAAGAGATTAAAAAAGGAAGTAAGCTTGGCTTAATATGAAACAAAATCTCTTCCTCAGTATTTCATTATTGAAATTATTTGGGAATCCCTAGGGAAAAAGGGAGTGGGGAGTAATTTATTAATTCATGACTGATAATGAGCCAACTGTCTGCAAACCATTTGGTGTGCTTTACAATCACAACACATATCTTTCAGCCATCAATATTAATCTGAATTCAGACTTTTGACAGGATTATACTCATATGGAAAAAAATTAAAATAAAACCAGAGCAGCTTCAACAACTGAAAAAAGGCACATATGCGATGTTCTGGTGCAATCTTGACTGCTCACAAAAAGGTTAAGTTCAGTGTTAGTTCATTTTGTTCTAACGTGTTACAGCTAGACCATTCAAAATCAGATCAGTCAGATGATGCCTAATTCTAAAACATTTCAAACGCTTAAATGCAAAATTAATGTTTAGGATGGGCGTTTTGGAAGTGATAAATGAGACCTTTACATCCAAGTATGTTACATGCACCGATAGGATCGAAAAAGATTGCTTACAACAGCAAGCAGTAATGCCACTGGGAGACAGGAAAGTTTGATCTGACCACCAAGTAACTATATCATGATGTACACTTCCTTATGTTCTATTCTGTAAGACAAAAACGGTAAAGAGAAAACTCAAGGTAAGAAGTAAAAAAGGCAAGTAAAAAAAAAAAAGTTGTCTGCCCTAGAGAAAAATGGTATGATTACAGGATTACAGTGTAGAAATTTTCTTAAATCTTCCTTTTGCGGGCGAGGAGGGAATATTGTTGTTTTGCAGGCACTTTTTATTAGTGAGCTAATCAAAAAGATGCATGATTCAAAATACAATAAACTGGTAAAAAATAAAAAATATGTACCGCTTTCAAGAACTACCTTTGCTTGATAATATGCAGTTATAAAACTGAGGAAACAAATTTTTAATTGAAAAGTGAATTCCCACTTCACAATAAGCTCCTCTGAAGATCAACAGTCATACGCAATTGTTTTATCGAAGAAAAAAAAACAAAGGACAACCTGAAGTTCCCATTTTCCAGCATAGTTCACACCCAAACTTATCTTACAGCCTCTACAGTGGTAGCCTTGAAGGTCAATAGCATGTCTCTGAGATGTCTGAGGTTTGTCTTGATTCACCTTCGTTATTCCTACAATGCACTGAAATACAGTGTGCTACAAAGGAGTTACACCTAATGACTTGTTTGGCTAATATTCTCATGGTTCTGAATCTCAGGCACTGGCAAAAGGCACTAAAGCGACAAATGTGAAGTACGCATGCAAGGATGGCTTTTACACGCTCTTCTGGCACAAGTCTAATTCTGCCACTACTGTGACAAAATTCTGTTATGGCAGCTTAAGAAGCCTGAAGTATTCCAGATGTGTTGAAGCATATACATACTTTTACTTGCTTGGTGTAGCTGTACCCTCTTCTGCACATCAGACTGGTTTATAATCACTGAAAAACCGCAATACTGTGTGGAGATCCCCAGTAAAGTAACTGAACCATCTCACTGGACATATTTATCCAACAAAGGTAAAAGGCAGCCAGTATACTCTCAATTGTTCTCCCTGAATATATAACTTCTTTCTTTTCGCTGTTACATTTCAAAATAAAATGCACCCACATAATTTCTACTCCACAAATGAATGGTTACAGCAATTATAATTTTGGTTCTGAAAAGGCACACTTGGCAAAGTACGGATTTGCACGCAAAAGCTAATAGACGTTACCATACAGGTGTGTGTATATACATGTATAAAAAAGTATCTCAAGAACCAAAGCCTGTAGGTACACCAAGAAAAGAAGGCACAAACTCTTAGCCCCCCTACTCAATCCCTTCACTTTGCAGCAGGATTCTTAGGAGGTTGCAGTTTGTAGGTGCTGAAGTAGTTCACCACTTGCTGAGGGACTTCGGCGAGGACACATTGAGCCAGAGCTTCTTTTGGAGCCTTATTAAAAAAAGAACAGCAAGTTTCACGGTTCATTAACGGTCAGAGCAGATCCTAAGAGGTGCAATTGCAGAGAAATGTACATAGTGCCCTTGCAGCAGAGAGGGAGGCTTCCCTAACATCTTTATGTTTCCACTCCCATTACCAGTGACCAGCTTACTGCCTCCTTCTGCTGAAGTCATACGAACTAGATGTCTGTAGTGCTGACATATCAGAAGGTATCTTTCACGACATGAAATTTATATATATGTGTATATACATACATATACACACACATATATACTTACATATTTATCTATATGTATGCATCACACACACACTTGCAGACATGGAACTTAGCCATGTCAATACACTTCCCTTCAGCGGCTTGTCTAATTATCTGTAACCTTAGACCCCAGTTCTCATCCACTGTAATTGCATGGCTATGGAGCAAGTCCTCTAAAGATACTGTTTTCACTGCAAGACAAAGTATCCCTTGAACAAAAATTTTATCTTTTTCTAGAAAATGAAAGTATTTGAACATATAGTTTTATACTAAATATTAAGCTGGTTACGCGACATCCAAGGGCATTAGTCAGTAAGTATATTTTGCATTGACTTTGCTCTCCCTTCACTTTGTCCGAGTCACACCAAAACTAAACAAAAAATTTATATCAAAAGCTTGTATCAAAAGTGACAAGAAGGTATAAAGAGTATTATTAACAGGCTTAAGATTAAGAAACAATAAAATTAGAACATATTAGGACGGATATTAAAATTTTGAATCTTCAAAGTAGTTTACGTTGGTCTTATTTTTCCCCATCCCAAAGAAATTTTGAATATTCTTAAAAATCAACTTTTTTCAGAGATGTGACATTTAACTGACACACTGTATGAGCCTGGGCACATTTTATTCAGCTGTACAGCAAACAAGGATTCCATTCTTTCGCTTCCTTTTTTTTTTTTTTTTTTTTGGTATCTCTGCTTTAATGAAAGCAAAAACTAACCCCACTGTGGCCACCTACAATTTCTAATAATGATGACCTCCTCACCTTAACCTAGAATTTTAACACTACTTTAAAAAGTAACACATATAGTTGCCCCTAATCCATGTTTATGGATTGAACACGATAAAAATGGTCATGAACACGATAAAAACCACTTTTCCTAAGAAAATCACAGTGATATCTTCCTCCCAAATAAACAGCATATCCATTGGTTTAGACTGAAGCAAGTCTGAGGGAGACTTACAAAGACCATTCCCCTGCAACAACTGGTCAGAAATGCAGTGCAAACCAGGAGCAGAGTCTTTTAAACTTGCATTGGCTTACCTGCTGGAAATTCTACAGATGCCCAAGAAGTCTTTTGCGTCCCTCCCTCTTTCTTTTTTTAAAGTATTTGATAAAGACACGTTTCACAGTTCAGAGTTCATCTTAGGGATGCTACAAAGGCTCAGAACTATATGTCTGATATTCTACCAAACTCAGCATTCCTCTACACTATTTATCAAGCATACAGTTAAGATTACTTACATTCTGGAACTTCCTAAATGGCACAAACTGGACAATGTCTCTGACAGCTGGTTCTCCTGAGGAGGACCTAAGAACTCCATTGTCACCATCAAGAAACTCCATAGCATCAAAGTCTGCTCCCCCAACACCAACAATGATAATGGACATGGGCAATTTTGAAGCATTAACTATGGCAGTTCGAGTTTGATCAAGATCTGTTATTACACCATCCGTTATGATCAGAAGTATGAAGTATTGCTGTCAAACCAATAAACACGGTGTTATAACAAAGAAATAAACAAGATAATATGTAGGCATACACACTTTGAAAAAGTACATACCACGTAACATTGTGACTTTAAATATGTACAGTGTACTCACTAAATCAAACATCTTATGCTTTGCTCAGGATTCTTCTGCATAGTTCAAAGAAAGGGCAACATTAAGCAATCTTTTAAGGAAGTCATCTTTAAAACTTAAACTCCCAAAAGTAATACCCTTACCCTTCCTCTCTCTTCCAACCTCTCCAAACAAAATCAATAGTTAATCCATTTTCCAAGTATTTGTTCTGGGAAGAAGGCAGTTTACTGAGGTTTTGGACAGAATTCATTTATGAAAATAATCCCTATCCTGTCTGGTCTGCCAGGCCAGAAGTGACACCCCTCACTTCATTCAGTTAAGAACAGATGAACAAAAGGGTGCTATCAAGGAAAACGGAATTCATTGCATTCCTAAAATCCTGAATATAGATTAAAACGCATCTTCTTGTGCTGAAAAACAGCATGATTATTTTTACATTGTAACATTACTGAAACCATTCAGGTTTCTTCCAACAAGAGTGTTTAACCTAAGCAGTGTGCCTAATAAGGGCTCTGATACCCAGGGAAGGCTTTCAACAGAAACACAAACCTGTAAAAACAGACACTGGGGTTAGATTATTAGCAGATGGGTTAATTGATCCTCATTTTGAAATTGCCTGATCAAATTCCTTTAATCATGCGTATTAGCTGCTTCCTGAAGTTAATTAACAAGGCATCTGAAATCACCTTGCAGTATTTCGGTAATTTAGTTAAGTTTCACTGAGCTGCTTCTACCCAGCTGCCATGTCTTCTAAAAGTTAGCCTCTGTTCCAGATTGGAATAAGCATCAAGAACAAACTAGGAGCACAAAGTTCAGAAACTGAACTATCAAATACTGATAGTTCCCTAGCGCCGTCCAAAATATTCTTCCCCCCCGCCCCCGCCATCTCCTGTGTTCAAGTACCACCTTTGCTCATCTCTTGCCACTGCTCCATTCCCTCACTCCAGCAAGAACGACTACAAAGCAATCACGATCAGTAGGCTGAGATGAGCAGCATGATAACATATGTCATCTCGGACTTATTCTCCTCTCCCTACATTTCCCTCATATTGAAAAACAAGCTCAAAATACCTGTGATACACGTTAAATGGCAAGGCAGCAGAATTTCTTCAATACTCCCTTTCAGGTAGAAATACTTTCTTTCTGCGAGTGCAATATGCCTAGCAAAAACGGACAGGAGGATTCTGCTACTGTCCTAATATAAATATTGATTACAGTGACTACCGTAAGAGCTCCAAGGCAAAACCTTACGGACTTCTTTGCAAATAAAAATCTGCAGCTCTTTACAAAATTGTTTTCCAGGAGAACTTCAGCTCCCTGAAGAGTTTAATTCAGGAGAGAAGTGCTGCACACAACCTGCAAGAATGAGTTAGCCTTTATCTAGTTTTAAGGATACCAAACACAATTACACAGGGTAAATGGCAAGCTGTCGAAACAGGCACACTTACAAGCTTAAAAGAGAGAAATACTATATATATAGCAGGGAAACAAAAATATTAAGAAAAAAATACACACGCTATGGTAAAGAACTTACAGATGCTGTTTGCTGCTGTGTAGCTGCAGCAGCAAATCTTGCCACGTGGTTTATAATTGGAGAAAAATTGGTTGGCCCATATAACTTCACTTGAGGAAGACAAGCCCGATACGCGTCAACAATGCCTTGGATGCCTAGGGAACACACATAGTTTCATCTTAATTTTTCATATTGAAATAGTGAGTGAAGTAGAATGAAGTGACATGTCAACATGAGAGAGCTGTTCCCAGCCTACTTATACTGTGCCCCAGCTGTTCAAAACATTTCTTTCATAAATCATTATAGGACATACCAAATGCTACCTCTAATAACTAACATATTTGTTAGAAGATATGATTAAGCTCATCTATTTAATTAGAGTAATATGCTTCACAATTCACCTTTCAAATATTTCTATCCTCTCATGCCCATAGTTTAATATTAGTTCATATACTTTTTCCGGCATAAATCGGTATCATTGACATCCTCGCTCCTAGAGTTGTGTTAGTAATGCCAGGAACACACAGGCATCCATTACCTCATATCATTCCAGAAAAAGAAAAGGTTACTTTTCAGACTTACCATTACAGAAGGGGTTTGATGGGTTGAAATTTAATGGGAACTCATGTGACACCTATCAATACATGAAAGAGGGTTAGGACTGTATATACCATAATCTCCTCCTGAATAAATGCTTTTAATTATCTGATGTGGTGCATTTACATATTCCATTACCTGAAATGAAGGAGGCACCTGTGCACCAAATCCAAAGGCTGGAAACATTTTATCTCTAAGAAAAGCAATTTAAAAGAAAATGAAGTGAGTGCTTTACTTTAAAAGCTGTCATAGCTCAGTAAATTGAGCTAATCAGTGCTGCTTTTATCATTAAAAATGCTATTTATTAAGAACTAAGAGGGAAAATTAAGTTGAAATTTCCCTCTATAAACACGTCTAGGACCAAAAAGTCTTTAACACCAACTCAGCAAGAATTCAAACTTTTGTTCAAATTAATGCTGCTATATACATCACAGATGAAAACTCCTGCTTGTCTGCTGTCAGACATAAGCAGAGCAGTGATTATGAAGTCTCTTTAGCCCTTTGTTCAGGTCGAAAACTTTCATTCTGACATATTTGTTGGTATCTTCCACACTAAAGCCTGATTTAAAAAAAAACACCACAAAAATGTACAGATATTTAAAAAAGGACAAATCAAAACTTACGTATCATAGTCCTGAATGACCATTCCTACAGACCAAATGGCTGTTAGGTATTCATTAACTCCATTAGGGCTTAGGTAATGCAGAGAGTCTGGGGAGCGAGGATCTCCATTGGAGCCTGTAAAATCTATCCCCACCTGTCAAATGCAGTGTTTATATCAAATTGCTGTTAGAGGAGAAACTATGTTTCTAATCTCAGCAAAGTTAAGGTGAAAGCCAAGATAGCGTTGTAAACTCTGCTTACGAGAACACACAAAAATCCAGCAGGCACAATACTCAGATGCAGGTTTCTTGGAATATTAATATTTTCACAACAATGTCACTACAAAAATGGCAAAAGCTGTGCATCCCTCAGAAGGGGTGGAATGCCTTTTATCTGTAAGGTTCTGGCTGTGTTTACTTTCAGTTAACACTCACAGCAGCTCTTCAGTATCTGTGAAGTTAATTTCATCTTATTTTTTTTACCATATACACCTTTAGCCTCCTAAGCAGATTGACCAGAGATCACAGAATAGTTTTTTCTCCGACCTCAGGAGATCATTTTCTCTAGATCAATAATAAAGCGTACTGCTAAGGTGAAGAACTCTTAATGTTACTTATGCCACATTAGGTTTATGAATTAAACAACTTAAGGCCTAGATCCCATATCACGGCTTCTGTGTGTTGCTTTCCTTAGTCACGGAGCCTTGAAAACGACCATCAGGGTTGATGGGGACCTTGCAGGCAGGGGAAGGGGGAAAAATAAATAAATAAATAAATAAAACCCATTCATGAAAAGAGAGCATAAAATAAATCTAATCATCAGAGAACTTTAAATTTCTCCTTGGTCTCCATCTACACAGCTCAACCAGTTCCTACTAAAGATAACTATGGGTTCAGAGCTTTGTACCAATGGCAAAGAAAACAATTTTTGGGAAATAAAGTACCTGGACTCTGGAAAAATGGCTCCCCCCCCACTCCCTCCCATGTTACAGAACAAAAAATACAATAATCAAATAAAGAGCACAGCTAGCATGTTTCAGGCGGCTCCAAAAATTGAACAGCTATTTTATATAAATATATATAACAATATATAATTAACTTACTGTGAAATTCAGCTGACATCCACCCATGATATAGTCAAGGAATGTACATTCTACTATGATCTAAAAATAAGAGACAGGAATTTTTCAGAGGGGAGAAAAATAAGCATTACTGGAACAACTTCTGAGGTCCCAGATTTGTTGTCTTGCATAGCACTGCTTTTACTCTCTAGGTATCCCTCCACCAGTGCAGCGAGGATATTTACAGGGCGTGCATCACAGCACATCGGAATCAAGACTTTCACAAAATTACAGGCAGATAAACAAAGCAGCTACAAAACCATCATCATTTATAACATAATATATTAAGACAGACTTAAACAGATTATAACTCACTATAATATGGCGAGTTGGGAAACATAACAGTTCAGCAATGGCCTTACAAATTGGTAAGCGACTTTTGCCATATGTACAGCAACTTTAATAAAGTTGGGGGACAGTGGAGGACATATTAATATTTGACAGCTGAAAGAAGTATATGTCTCCTTATATAAATCAGAGCCCTTAAACATTCTATAGGTCTATAACTTTCAGACATTTTATAGTTTCAGACATTTTGAGGGTAAAGGCATACTATAGCAGAGCTGTTACCTCTGAACACTTATAAACAGTCACATCAGAATATATTACTGACCTCACAGTGCTTAACGCTCACAATGCCAGAGTTTTTATAGCTTTTTTTCTTCTGTCTTTTCTTTTCATTGATGCATTCAAATTCAACCTATGTGAATGTAAAAATGAGAAAAGCACAATAAATATCATTTATGCAACACATTCAAAAATTCTTCATTCTACGATTGATCCTTTTGCCTTATATTAAAAATGCAGTTTATCTCACTGTCAAATAAGTTAATTCAGCATGCTCAAAAATCAGTAAGAAAAAAAAATTATCAGGACAGAGAAAAACGCTAATCCTCTCTCTACCAAAAGCTTACAGAAAGATTTACTTAGACAAGTGTATTTCAACCAGCTGAAGAAATTATGTACCATTTTTGCTCTGAGGATTGTGCTAAAAATTTTCTCTTTGGTAAAGGCAGGGTGACTCAGCTAAAGCAACAGAGCTCCCAGCAGCAGTGGCACTAACATACAAAATAAAAGGTACTTATCAAAGCCTTCCAAAATCAGTTATTCAGGCTTCACAAACTAAACCAATACCTTAAGCTAAATTTGGGATCAAGAGCTAGCTATTGCGCATCACAAAGTATCAGGCAGTCATGATGGCATGTATTTGGTACATAAATAGTCCAAAGAAGTATTCCAGATGCATCTTCTGGCTTGGAGCCAGAAAAAGGCTCCACTGCTCTGTTTTACTTTAAAGTAAGAATAAAAAAGTAATCTTGCAATTAATCTCAACAGAAAAAAGGTACAGAATGTACTAACAAGGCTAGCACCTGAGAAGACTGTATGCTTCTTCCTTGTCCCTCTAAAAGAATTTACTGAATTTTCTGGATATTTCACTTCCTAATCAGCATCACTTCCATTTCATGGAAGTTGTCTTTCAGTGTCTTTTTTCTGTGGTAAGGGACTGGAGCGAAAGGCTGAGCGAGCTGGGCCTGTTCAGTCTGGAGAAGCGAAGACTGAGAGGGGATCTTATCAGCATGTACAAGTATCTGAAGGGAGGGTGCCAAGAGGATGGGGCCAGACTATTTTCAGTGGTGCCCAGTGACAGGACAAGAGGCAACACGCACAAGCTGAAAAACAAGAAGTTCCATCTGAACAAGAGGAAAAAGTTCTCGACTGTGAGGGTGACAGAGCACTGGAACAGATTGCCCAAAGAGGTAGCGGAGTTCCCTAGAGATATTCAAAAGCTGTCGGGACACAATCCTGAGCAACGTGCTCTAGCTGACCCTGCTTGAGCAGGGGGGTTGGACTAGATGATCTCCAGAGGTGCCTTCCAACCTCAGTCATTCTGTGATTCTGTGATACGATGACAGTTGCACAGGTACTCACTAACATTGGCCACAAATATATAGCATGAACATAACTTTCATAATCCTTCAACCACAACTCAATGCCTGGGGAAAATAAATACATCTTGGCGGGGGGAGGAAATCTCAGCAATTCTCCAGAAGTTATCCATTCACTTCAGTCTTACAAGCAGATCAGCATCTTGAGGACTGAGCACCACACCCATGCTCATCTCAAGTCACTTCAAAGGAGTTGTGCCAAACTTTCTGTAGGTGCAGCTGAGGGCAGAATTGTAAGAATAACTAGAGATTACCACTGGAGTCTATGAAGTCAAACTCTGACTTGCACTGGAAACATTTTACAGACGTTATCAAATAACTCGGATCATGCGGGACTAGAGATTAGTCTCCTTTAAAAGTGGAAGAATCCTGGAGCATGTTATTTATCTGTGCTGCTGTACATCTTTGCTCCATCCTATTGACACAGGAAAAGGCTACTTTGAATAGGGATAGCCATGATTCTCACGAAAACTTTCTTTAAGCATTTCCAAAACCAACACACGCAAATTATAACTTAAAAACCATTTTCTTTAAATTCACAAGAGATCCTACCTATTATGGGGTCTCTAGGACAGAAATTAAAATAGTTATTTGCATTCCCAAAGAGCCTTTATACATCAGGCTTCACACTGCACAGGTACTCACGATCACGTTCTTACAAAAAAATACATGTGCTTGAAAACGTGAATGTACAGAGTCTTGCACTGTTCAAAAATTTTGCATATTCACTGAAGTATGCATTACAGTCGATGAGTGCCACCCTTGAAATAAAGGATAAAGTACAATCTGACAGATACTACAAACTTCTTCCTTTTAACTGCAGTGAAATTTGTACTGCATTCTTTATTCTGCTGATCTATATTTTCTGATTTCTGCATTTTTACGAATCAGTGAAATTTGTTTGGGCTGAAGGCTGGGTATTTACACACTGAAAACTAACCAAAATATAAACCTTAGGAAAGTAAATTCATATTCAACTCCAAGTCCACCTCAACTATATTAACATTGTAGGCTGTAGCCTAATACAACTTAGATATTGGCAAATGAAGTGATGCAAGGTTAGCTCCAAAATGAGAAAGACAACATAATAAAAACACACTGGCAGCTTAGACTATACAAGACTTACAGGTGAGGACCGAGATGCTTCCTTCAGTTTTGACATCGTTGTTTGAAAACTTCCTATGAGATCATGAGACCCATCACCATCATAGTCATAGCACTCTACCTGAAATTAACCATTATTCACTGTCAGTAGCAGCAATATCTCTATCAAAGTAATAAATATTGCAATGGCATTTTTATACAAACCTGAATATATACAACACTCCTGAATCTCTTGAAACACGGCATTTCCCACGTGCTACAGGCTTACCGTGACATAAGCAACCAAAGAGCAAAGAGTCCAACAATTTGGTAAAAGCCAATCTACTCGATTTCAGAAGAGATCGTCCACCGAAATCCAGGAGAGTTGAGAACACTCAGCAGTGCACAGGATCGGGTAACATCAATTCTACTGAAATGCACTGGTGGTGGGGGGGGGTGTTGGGAGAGTAGGAAACCAATCTCTAGGTCTTTTACTGTCATTATGGATTAGGAGACTTGATTTTTCAGAAGTATTAAACCCTTGTAACTTTTCTTAAGCATCCAGCTAAAAATTCAGCAAATCAATCACAAAGTAATTAGCAGAGCTTATTAATACTCTATTAATCTTCAAGGTTACTCAGAATTTGTAAGTGTATGAAGGTTTAGCACTAAATTTAGAAACTAGACATGAGATTTTAAGATTAGCAAATTTAAACAGTCTCTATGATCCACTTTTCATAGATCTGAATTTGTCAACTAAAATCTCTCTTCCTGTATTCAATATTCAATCCTAAGGCTTTACTATTCAATCGAGCTGTCGTTGAACATCTCACCCCCACCAAAGGGGGAAGAGCAAGTAAAAAGCTAACAGTTATTTCTATTTGAGATCCTTTCAGTTTAAGCCAGCGTAATGTTATTACTGTTGCTTTAACTTCATAACGTCCTCAACTTTTGCTTCTTAAAAGCTGAAGTTAAGAACGTGCCCCAGCTGTCCTCCTGAGTAAAAATTTGTGTGTATTTAACTATAATAGAATATGCTACTTCCATCCACTTCTGATATTTTATTTCAGTTTAGCAAGATAGACATGCTGGTTAACTTACTTTTAATTAATCAAATCACAGAAAAATATTAAAATAATAAAAATCAAGAGTCAAGCTAGGAATTCCCCTTTATTTGGGATCAAAACATAAGTCCTCAGAAAATTTTTCTTGAATATATATGGCTTGATCCAAACAATGGTCTTGAAGTCCTTCTTTCCACTCTGAACAAAATCCTATGCTATATTCAAGAAAAATATATTGCATTACTTGCCCTTTTCATTTAGGAATAACATAGCAAAATGAGTAACTGCAACACACACTGGAGCTTCTAAGAGAAATTAACTTTCTGGAAAGAAACAACAATGTTGAAGTATAAAATATAATGCGTAAATTGCAAGTGCTACTCTATGGAAAACACGCCTCTAAATGTTGCAGTTTGCACTGCTTCTACAGTATCTTGAATACACTGATAAATAAATAAAACACATGCACATGCACTGATCATCAACTTAAATCTCATACAAGTAGCCACAGCACCAAAAGATTTGATGTGTGCAGCAGATGTGATGTAAATTCTTTTGAATGCTGTAAATTAAGCCAATCAGATACTCAGCTAAGTGCTTCAGTACTTGAAATTTAAAACTGAAGATATTTCCTGGGCCAGGAGTTATGACACTTGTTCAAAGTTAGCACTGTTATTTCTTTCTCTTTTTCAAAGGATCAAAACTTGTCGTGCTTCATATATTTGATTCATCTAACCCAACACACGTTTTCCAATATTGTATTTCAAATATTTAGCCCAGGTAAGACAAAAATATTCTTTTTTCCCCCTACATATGCTCTCTTGGACAGGTGATAACAGGGATAAAAATGCATTCATGTATTCCCCAACAAAACTATGCATGCTTGCTCCAAGTGACAGGCTCACATTTTCAGCGCATAAAAACTTCACCAACTCACTGCAAACACATTCACATGAAATGTAGATACAAATCCAGAAGATACAGTATCACCTTGGTTTGTGCGTTGCTCTACATACACAAACTAAGCCATTCGATAGGTGAAAAGCCACTCATTAGGGAAAAGTTGGTAAGTGTTTTTACTTACTATGAAAAACAGCCCATTTCGTATGCCGCTGTGTGCGTATAAAAGTGTTAAAGCATTGTTTATTCATTCAACACTATTATAATACTATGCCATTTGCATTTTAATGTTTGAAGTGATAGTTCTCAGATTTCAAAGTTAAGATGTACCAGAAGTCAGAATTCAGCCTACTGCCTGCAAGTCCGTAACAACTGTCAGTAAAATCAAATTTCCTCTGTAAATAAATCTATGTTTCTAAGGTAAGATTCCAAAGAATTGTCATTATTAAAATCTGATAAGGCATTATGATTTCGTTTCGGATGATCCTAGAGTGGAGAATAACTCCATCTTAATAGAATTCTTTTCTATAGTTAATAGATCTATAGACAGATAAAAAAGATGTATAAAATAGATCCACAGTTAATATGTTTGTTTACTAAAAAGAGAAATATGTGTACAACATATGGAGAAGCAAGAGCTGTCACTGCTATTTTGGGAAAAAAGAAAAAGAAAGGAACAAGGAAGTAAAAAAACAGAAGCAGCAATGGAAGCAGCTTCTGAGGTTCTGTGCTTGTAAAGCTGTTCATTACTCTGCTCTGTAATTATATATTTTAATCTATACAGGTGCTTGTAACACTCACATCCCTGTGGCTGGTAAGCATTTTTCCGGAATGCCTCAAGTCGTACTACTAATATCTGTCACATGCAGCTCATGTTCTCATCTGTCCTTTCCCAGAGGGAGAACAGTGAGTGTAGTGGTTTGTTTCATTTGTTTTTTAATATTAAAATACCAGGTTGCTAAAATGCTTATGTTAGCCTAAAAATTACATTTTGATTCTGATTGGTTGTTTTGCTTCAATTCCACCCCTAAACTAAGGGAATTCTTGAACAAAACCATTCAGAAGAAACATAATTAGTTCAAGTTAAGATTCAAAACACAGGACTTAAAAGACCAGCCCCAGTAAAACTATCACTTCACAGATCTGCTTGACCTTCTGACAGAAAGTTCAGTTTTATCTGAGGAGCAAAGTTACTGGTGTACCATTATTCCAGATCTTCTGAGAAAGGGAAATAGCTTCAGCAGATGGTCCTCAGTCCCTGTACAGTCTTTCAAGGCCAACAGAACAGAATAGAATGGTTCAAGGGGCCCTCAAGGGAAAATAATGTTTTTTAGGACTAGGGCTGCAAATAGAAGAGCTCTGTGTCTTCCTTGCTGCCTTCTTTTGAAAGGACTCTGAGCTAGATGCTAAATTTGCTTGAGAAGGAAGCCTGCCAGTTGCATACAGAAGTTTTCTTCACAGAAATTGCTGCTGACTCAGTCTGGACTTGAGACCTAGGCTTTCATATCACACTCACTGTACATCCCAGTTGCTTGAGCCAGTGGTCTACTAGATCATGTAGGCTCTAGTTCTCAGGAGGTTCAGGATCTCAAGGGCAGGGAGGAACCCCTCTTTCAGAGTAGCCTCAGTCAGCGTCACAACCTTCAATCCTAACAAGATTAATTCATAGGCTAGAAAAAATTATAGGTCAGATTTACAGGACTTATTCAAAGCGTACAGAACTGAGTGGAAAACATTATATTCCAGGAATTCAGTCAGACTGCTCATTAGCTGCTGTGAAGGAGCAGATCCAAGCTGTAAGAGCAGCATTCCCAGATGACTGCAATACTTTCACATAAGCAAGGTGCCCTTGCAGTTTAAAAGGAGGCCAACAGAAAATCTCTTCTGACTGACAAAACGGGCAGAGCATAGACCTTCTTCCTCCTGAACCTCTTCTGTAACAATGCGTCCAAGTTTCTCTCCAGAGGTCAGAGAAAAAAAAAAATCAAGAAAATATAACTGGCAAATAAGGAGGAAGGACTTTCCTGATTCCAGGATGATAAAGTTTTTGATTCTTGCCCTGTAGGGGATGAAACTCACCTTCTGGCCCCACCATTTGGGCAGGAAATAGGAGAAAAAAGTAAAGGTCAAGGCCCATAAATATTCTTAAATTCCATGCTTCAGCTCAGGTGCCTAAAGACTTTAGAGCAAATAGCTTTATGGAGACAAATAAATATGCTACCTCGAAAACAGCTGCATTTTGAAATGTTTTTTTGAAAAGATATTATAATTTTTAATTTTTTAATTACTAATTTGTATGCATCACAAATGGGAGATGCCCCCCCCCCAAACGTGCCTACAGCTTTGTGACTTTAAAATACATAATAAAAGGAAAAAAAAAACTTTCAATTTAATTTGAAACAAAAAGAAATACCTAGAATAACACATTTTTCATTTAGTACATTTTCTAAAATTTTTTTAAATATATTCATAAGATTACATGTATTTCTTATACATTACCTTGATTGACTTATCCATGTCACTGTAACACAGAGAATTGAGAGAGATTTTAAATGGCCTCCAAACAGGATTCAAGTTGTTTTTAATAACCTATAAAAATGTCAAAATAGTAGTATTCACAGAAAGCAGAAAGGAATCATCATAACTGCCCCCACCATCACGCCATGACTCTCATAAGCAAAAAATGTTGACTAATACTGCTGCCCATCACTTCCCACAATCCAAATCCTAACATATATGACTTAAAACAATGACCAAAAAAAAAAAAGATTCTAACATGTAATATCTTTGTCAGAACCAGATGACGTCTTTTCAAATCGGTATTTTCTAGATTACACTGTGCTCTACTACATCACACAGCTACTGCTTCGGAAAGAATTTAAGATTTCACTACCTTTAGGAATACACTGATACTGGTAGAGTCATCAGTGTACAGAAACATGACTTACCAATAAAAGCATAAAAAAAATTAAATTGGAATTTTTGAATAAATCAAAGCTCTGGAGATTTCATTTCACTCTAGTCAATGTTTATTGTGAAATGTCACTTCTGAAAAATATTTCCTCCGAAAATTCACGGTGCACTTAAGCAGAAATAGCACATGAGAATAAGAGGGTATTCTGCTGCATGCACGTGTCTCACAAGGCAAAAGCTAAGTGAGTGATATTTAGGAATGATACTGATAGATCTGCAGAATTTGTCAACTAGGAAGCGTCCATAATATAAAACACTCTCTAAATATGACTGAAATCAGAAGAAATCGTCCCTTGAAAGTAATAAAATGATTTTATTTAGAAAAAGAAACCACAGACAACAAGCAATACTTAAGTTACACCAGAAAACTTCCAGAGTGGGTGGGGTGCACGTCACAAAAGAAAAAATAATTATTTTGAAAAATCAAAATAGTAAAAAATAGTAAGGAGTAAATTATGTTAGCAACTTAACAGGGTTTTTAAAATCAGTAACATATAGAACTAATCTTCCAGCTCTTATTACACCAGAAGAGCAAATTCTAGATTCATTATTTAACTTGAAGATGACTGGAATCCTCCTGAACACGATACATTTGTGTGTGATACGTTTTATGCAGAAAAACCACCTCACAAGAGAAACATTACTTTTATAAACCACATACAACAAAGATTTAGATTTCTTTGATCTCAGGTGCTTCAAAATTAATACAGTCACTCCTTCAAATCAGCATAGTACCTAAGTTTTGATCAGGGCCTGAGTTTCTACTACAGTGAGACATTTTGTACGTGCTCCTACTCTTTCAGTCGCTGAACCCACCTCTCCCTAGGTGGAAGAAGTAGCAATAGGCAGGACTCAGGCACGTTTTCCCTCATTCAGTTTTATTCTTAGCTTGTCCTTGCTAAGCAAGCATTCAGCATAATTATTTTCATTACATTAGGGAGAGGTGACCCTGACTCGAGCAGAACAGCATGAGTATACCTAAGTTCAGCACAGAGAGTAGCGCCGAGACAAATGTTGTTTCTTTCTGTACATCCAGCACCTTTTCAAAACATTTTTATTTTCTACTAGATTTCAAAAAGTAAAAGAACAACAATATTCTCCCTTAAAGGAGGATGGCCTAAGACAAAGAAAGAGAAAAGTAGACTTTCTGTCATATCAGAAAGTCAGTAGAACAGCTGAGATAATTTCTACCACTGGTTTGTATGCCAATTATCAGACCATTCTACTTTTTGTAAGATGCTGTACTTCTAGTGGTATGACACACTGAAAATCAAATTACCTCATCTTCTAGGCTGTTGACAGAAAATATCCTACCTCTGTTCTGTGAACCATCACCCAGTTTCCATCTCCAGTCTGCTTGTGGAATTCCAGATAAGGATCTGACTTTCCAAAAAAATCCTGTATTTAAAGAACACACAATTATCCCAGAACAGCCTGCGGCATTAATGTCATTAAATGCTAGTTAAAACACACTTAGATTAACAACAAATATACTAAAGAGTCAGAGAACAAAAACTTCTTGTTGTTCAGAGTAAGAAGTTTAAGTCAGATTACATTAGCACCTGATAAGGAAAACAGGGCATGTCCTTTACATTTAAGATAAAATTCTGTAGCGTCTACAGAGCAAGTATCTGATAGTTCAAGCAAATTCAAGGGAGTTACTTATACTACTAAGTAGTCAGGGAGCTGTTTAGACTACCTAAGTAGCTGGACAGTAAGGAAAGGAAGGATTTGATCTAATTTTAAAAAGTCTCATTAAATCTACTAGAAAAAAAGTAACACTTTTTTCCATTATTAAAATTATTTTTAAAAATTCTTTTACATATAGTAATTTCAGCCAGTCCAAAACTATTTAACATAACAGATGCGGGTGCTTTAAGAAACATTGCATATCCGTGCCTGTAAGTACATTTTATCATTTATTTTAATAACTTTACAGGTAATCAGTTACACAACTATTCAAATTAATGGATATACAAGAACTCCCTTATCTTTTTAATTAAATACAAAGATTTACATTTAAATGGAGGAGTGCTGTTCTAGGAATATCCCTGCAATAGTTATAATTTATTTCAAAGCAGTCAATGTCATTCGGAAGTTATCTTTCTTCATTTCTCTTCCAGTGTAAGCAAAATCTTAATGGACCTGATTACTTCAGCAAAACATAAGAATGAACATTTTAATTTCCCTCTTTTGACAGGATTCCAATTTTGCTGTTTCTATGATGAAGCAGTAATCACTTAAATACCTTATTGTCCAATTTCCTTGCTTCTACTTCCAATACAACTACTCTGTTATCCTTCACTTCTTCTGCTGTAATCTAGATAGACAAAGAAAATAACAAAGATTAGCTATTTTATATTCAGAGACTATGTTGTTTTCTCGCACTGTTCACAACACTCCTACAACAGCTCCAAAAAAAACCATTTTTACTCAGAAAGAAAGCATTAAGAAATAGGGAAAAAAGAACAATTTGATTTCACATTGGGACTGATTACACATCACTGTCTGAAATACACTTCAATTCAGTATTTAAGAACGATGACACTGGCAACTAAAGATGCTGCCCAAATAGCAGGACATCAGACGCTTTACTCTAGCCCTACCTGACTTTGAAAACTTTCCAGTACACTTGGAAGTGGTCAAGAGCCTAACGAGATACTGGCAAATGCACAGATATTTTGCCCCATGAGCTTTGTCCATTCTCCCTTGCTGCTAAAGATGCGCACAGTGAGTCTTCCAAATGCAGAAGCTGCACAACCCTCCCTTTTGATAACAAAGGAACGTTCAATACAAAAAAAACCCAGAATGCTGTAAGATATTCTTTCTAGCACTGTGGATTAGACACGCTGGGTTCAGGTCACAAAATAAAAACAAATAAACAATTTTTAAGGAGAAAAGTTGAGAAGAAGTATCGTCTTACCATAATACTTCCTCTTCCAGCAGGTCTGCCATTTTTAAGTACCAATGGTTTTGTTAAAGTCTTGTTAGAAACTATCTGCCAAAAAAGAAGTTGAGCATCAAGCATTATTAGAGCAATCAAGTAGTTTTTCACTATCTCATTTCATTCATTCGAGGTATTTTCATTTTAGGAATGTTTCCTTTGTCATGAAAATGACAGCATTAAATTTATTTCCCATTTTCTGCTACAGATAAATAGATAACACCCGATACATTTCAAAATTAGGAAATATATATATATGCAGATGAACACATGCAGAGTCTGAGGAGCAGAATGAAATAAAATGCCTTATAGCAACATGATACACATACGTGGACAACAATAGTATCTTAACTTACAATCTTAAGTCGTTCCTACATTTTTCATAAATACCATTTAATATACACGCAAGCCACGTCTCATAAACAGCTTCAGCAAACAGATTTATAAAAAACAATACGCTTGTCACACAAATAAACGTCAGCCTCCTCCTGCAGTTTCTAGTTGACTTTGTTGTATCCTGTCAAGGCATTGTTTTTGCAGAAGACTGTCTACTCATTCTCTAGGTTTTTCTTCACTGTAAGAATGAATGACTAATTTTAAATTGTTACTTGATTTCATTTCACAATGCCTCCTTCTTCCTAATGTACTTTAAATAAAATACTTTACACTTGGGGGATGGGAGGAGGGATTGAGAAGACTTTCCTGAAACGACATGACTTCGGATCTACTAGAAAAGAAGCTGCCGGAATGAGACAGCAACAATAGTGAAATTTTATAGCGAAATGGAGGTGACAGCAACAGACCAGAATCACTGCTTGCCTTACACAGAAAGCAATCATTATCAAGATTAATATGGCCCTTGTGAATATTGTGAATTCGTACACTGTCATACACTAATTCCTTTATTTTTGGAGCAAACAAGTAAGAATTTGAGTATCAGCATAAGTAACTAGCATAAATAACTAACAATTACTATTTTGTGTATATTGACAGTCCCTCTACTTTTAGATGGCAATCTGGACAGTCACCATCCTAGAGTACATTTTAGGGTATCATCTCAAGATCTTTTGCAAATAGAAGGTATATACTGAACTGAGGCTGGGAAAAAAATAAAGGGAATTCTATTTTCAAGTTACAGTACACTGCCTACACAAGAACATAGTGATAAATTTAAGATAAAAATGATTAATGATTTGCAGCAAGCTTATATAATCTTAATTCCAAGGGAAATCATCTGCATACTTACTTGCCCCAGTGTACACTCAAATTCTCCTAGGAAATCATCATCACTCAGATCAAAGGTCTTGTTGTCAATGTCATATATCCCAAATTTAAGTTTCTGAACAAGCTCAAAATAATAATCAATTAGGAATTTCTTGGAAAACTTTGGGTTCAAGGAATTCTTAATTCTTTCTGTGCGATCAACCTGGAGGTAAAAAGGTAACACTTTACCCAGAATTTCACTAGCCAGTACAAACAACTACAATAAGCACCCAAATCAAATCACTTATTATTAAAGACATTCAGAAGAATCTTCTTTGAGTATAAAGACACATATTCCTACAAGCCTTTTCATCAACTATAACTAACCACTGTCTGTTACAAAACCTACTGCTTTGAGTCTGAGATATCTGAGGATTTCTTTTTCTTTGCTCCTTGTAAGAAGTATTTACTCCCAGGTAGGAAAGACCAACATAAAGATGGCGTATTACCAAATCCAGAATGAGACCACAGTTTCGGAGTACTGTATTTATAAAAGCATGCTTAAGCACTGGAAGGCTTCTGTCTGTCCAAATATGATTAGAGGAAACAGAACTAAAAAGAGTAAACAGATGTAAGTACTTCTTAAAAAAGAATTCTTAGTGTGCTACCTGTATACCTATTACAGACATAATAGTCTAATGAGAAGTATTCAACGGAACTAATAAATAGAAAAACTATTTTAATGAAATTTTATGCTCCAGTGTTTGAATAGGTCCAACAAATTAGACTACATTTTGAGTAGGATAATGAGAAGCATCACACTTTACCTCGTACCACTGCTGACCACTTGTGTTCTGGAGAAGCACACACAGCGGGTCTGACTTGGAACCAACATCTTTATCCAAGAGATTAGTGCAGGCAACAGTCAGCTCCACCTTTGTCACACACTGTGCCGCCATTTGTTAAGCTAGAAAGTAGCAACAAAAATCATCATTAAAAATGGATTAAAAAGCAAACATTGGAAACTTAACAGTGCATTATTCCTCTGACTGACCCTTAGAATCATTAGCTTGGCAGAGTGAGATCTGAGGCTCTAAAATGCCACCTTAAAGATTTATAACATACTGACATTATCAAGATCACTGTCACACTCAGGGATAAAACCGCACAGGGATAAAACTTCTTTTCAAAAACTGCATATAAGAAATAAGATCAAGTTTCTCAGAATGCCTGAGGACCCACACGGAAAACAGACTACACCACCAAGAAAGCACAGTGGTTCAAACTATTGACAATAAAGTTTGTCACACATTTTCATGCCCAGGTGTTTAGAACAACAAGTAAACGCTAAAATGCATCCTGTAAAATATGCATGAATGCCAGCATTTTACAACATAGCTATTAATAAAACCTCAAAGAATTAGAAAAAAAAAAATATTAAATACTCCCCTACCAATCCTCTGTAACAAGCCATGAGCTTGGCAGGAACTGGAAAAGTAGTTAAGTATTTACTGTGGGTAAAAGGAATAGATGGTCTTGCCTTAATAGATCTTTAAGACAAAATATAACTTTTGTAATAGGGATAAACAACTCTAAAGTCAAGTAACAAATTAGGAGGAAGTGTTGTTTCTGGGGCTCATGAAAGAATAAAAAAAATAAAAAGGCTTTCTCACATTTCCTCTGAAGTATCTCAGTAATTCTCTACCAGAACTAAGATTATACTAGCAGATAATTAAAAATCTATAAAACAGGTTATCATTATCAAGTATTAATCTCACCCTGGGATAACAGGCATTTTCAAATTGAACTAGGTCTGAGCAGCAGACAGACTCTTTTATATCCAGTCTCCCAAGTATACTCCAAAGGAATACAGTTGATCTTTGTTAACACCTCTTTGAGAAATGAGCCTCTGCAGTACAATTGCCTCTGACTCAAAAAGCAGTACTAAAACTCCCAAATCTTCCCAGAGATCCACCTTCAAAAGCAATGTATCTTGGAAGTTCCCAAGCCTCTTTACCTTCACATTCTCTTTCTCTACAGTAACAGTCCACAGTTTAGATGCAGGATCCTTCTGGATCACCTGACCTTGAAAATGCATGAGAGGCAAAAAGGAATAAGGAAGGAAAGGCGTTTGCTTCTATCTAGCCAGTTCACTTCCATCCACATTGTAGCCTATCTGAACCTGAAACTACATTTAACCCAACCTCTCTCTTCTCTTCACTGTATTCATATGATTTTCAGTGAAAAGGAATTTATTTTAGAGATAAAACAGGAAAGAAAGAAAAAGATAGCAAAGAGGAATAACTAACTGAAAACAGGGAAAAGAAAACTCTGCAATTAAAAGAAACCTCAAAAAAACTCCGTCCATTTCAGTAGGCCATGTTTCAAACCTTGCCTCTTCACCTCTGTTTTGCTGACTTACAGATGGGACTCTTTGGGACTGCTAATAGAACATGCACAACTGCTGAAACATCCATGCACATGCATTATTTATAAGCAGCACAACAGATTTATAGAAATCCTCCTATACCTCCCAAGAGCCTAAATGAGATTCCACCTTTGAGCGTTCTTTCGTCCTCTCACTTGATCAAGTTTTGGTCACAGTATTCAGGGAAAAAAAGCAAAGCTCCAAGTATCTAAGTTGTTTTTAAGTCAATGTTTTTGAGCCTTAGAAAGGATATCGCTAAAAAGCGGCCTGCTCCCCTTTTCCTGGTTCTCTTTTTATATAGGTATTTTCCGTTCCCTATTCCTTCTCTGGCTGCCAAACAAAGCTCATTACAGGTTAGTGGCCTTGCCCACAGAGTCCAGTGCAGAACAGAGCAGGACTCCTTAACGGCTGTTTACAGAAAAGCAACTTTAGGCTGACAATATGATGTTTTAATCCCCAGTGATGTTACAACAGCGTATACAAAGGGTTTTCCTGAAATGAAAGAGAATTCAAACTTGGATTAGGACATACTCTCAAAACAGTCAAAATGTTTAGAGTTTCAGTCAAGTTAGAGCAAGAGGAGTAAGGTAAACCTTACCGAAGGTTAAGCTTGTGAAAAGATGCTTAGTCACATTTATTAAATATTGCTTCCAAAAACACTAGCAAACTAGTCATCCTAAACGTTCGGTCAGTTTTTCTATTCAGCCTTTGCGCGTCCCTCTCCTCCCCATTTCTCTTACGCTACAAGCTCTTTCACACATGAACATTTTGTGATTTCCTCTCCGCATTTCATTGCCTCTCCCACTATGCATCTAATTTGGGAAGACAGCAGATTTAGCAGAAGAGGTATGTGCAAACAGCATCCTTTATCACACGGAGAAAGAAGGAATAAACAAACTGCTCAGTATCCCCTCACTGAAATACAAATGCTGCTAATAATAATTGGGCTGACAGTAGCTAAAGGATTCAACTGCTTATAAGAACATGCATTTATCTGAGTGGAGGACACTGAATTTGAAAAATAGATACAAAAACAAAACCTGCCAAGTCCTGAGATGGTCCTTTACTCTGTCCATCTCCAATTTTGCAAAAGGCAAGATGAAAATAATGCAAGTTATTTTCCTTAGAGATTTTGAAAATATTAGGAACAAATACTTATATAATTGAAGAGGTCTGTAATATTTTTTAAAGCAATTGAAGAAATATGTTTATTTTATTTGAAAAAAAGACACTATGTTTCTCCACAAAAAATGCAAGACTGATGTTTTCATATTATATGGCTGTATCCAACCTTATTTTTAATAAAATAAACATAAAAAGATAACAATATACTTACCAGTGTGGAAAAGTCATACTTCATTAATCTAAAATACAATATTTATGGTAGTGAAACTTTCAACACAGGTATAAACAACAGATATTTCTCTCGCAACATTGTAGTCATTACAGAACTTGCTGGGGTCATGCAGATACTCATGTGCAAAATCAGAAATCTTTTAAACAGCAGTAGCTGTTGGAGCTCTGCACATAGTCTATAAATCCTCATAATCCCATACGGTGTAAAGGGGAGAATGACCACAGCTCCACCCCATTATTCTCCTGTTTGAAAGCCTATGTCAGCCGACACGTGAAGGACAAGAAGGCGATTGGGAGTAATTAGCATGGATTTACGAAGGGAAAAATCATGCTTAGCCAACCTGCCAGCCTTCTATGACAAGATGACTAGCTTGGAAGATGACGGGAGGGCAGAGCATATCATTTATCTTGGCTTCAGTAAGCTTTTTGACAGTCTCCCGTAACATCGTCACAGACAAACTGATCAAGTACAGGCTAGATAAGTAGACAGAGAGGCGGACTGAAAATTGGCTGAAATTTGGGGCTCTGAGGGTTGTGATCAGCAGCACAAAGTGCAGCGGAGGCCAGTCACCAATGGCGTACTCCAGCGGTTGGTACTGGGGCCGATACTGTTTAATATCTTCATTAGTGACCTGCATGACAGAACCGAGTGCACCCTCAGCAAGTTTGCAGACGATACAAAATGGGGAGGAGTGGCTGATACGCCAGATGGTTGCGCTGCCTTTCAGAGGAACACTGACAGGCTGGAGGGATGGGCAGAAAGCAACCTCATGAAGTTCAACAAAGGGAAATGCAAAGTTCTCCCCTTCTGAGGGGGAATAATCTTATGCACAAGCACAGGCTGGGGGTCAACCAGGTGGAGAGTAGCTTTGCAGAAAAGGACCTGCGAATCCTTGTGGACAACAAGTTAACCAGGAGCCAGCAACATGCCCTTGTGCAAAGACAGCCAATGGTATCCTGGGCTACATTACGAAAAGCGTTGCCAGCAGGTCGAGGGAGGTGATCCTTTCCCTCTACTCAGCCCTGGTGAGGCCACGCCTGGTGGGCTGTGCCCAAATCTGGGCTGCCCAGTACGAGAAAGACATGGACATACTGAAGCAAGTCCAATGAAGGGCCACCAAGATGATTAAGAGACTGAAGCACTGCTCATAGGAAGAAAGGCTGAGAGAGGTGGACTGTTCAGCTTGGAGAAGAGAAGGCTTGGGGGGCTTCAGATCAATGTTTATAAATATGCGGTGGGAACGTTTAAAGAAGACGGAGCCAGATTCTTCTCAGTGGTGCCCAGTGACAAGACAAGAGGCAACGGGTACAAACGGAAACACAAAGAAATTCTATCTCAACATAAAATAAGCACTTTTTCCACTGTAAGGGTTGTTGAACACTGAACAGGTTGCCCAGAGAGGTTATGGAGTCTCTGTCCTTCCCAGGAACATTAAGCATTTCCCATGAACCTGGACAGAGGATAACACGGAAATAAACAAATTATGTAGATATGCTATAAAAATGAAAGTCTTGAACCAACCCTAATCTTGAGATAATGAAAGTGGTGAAGCTTTACTGTCCTGAACATAAAATTAATGCAATTGTTCAGTCTTTACTTTTTCAGACAGGACTAAGACGCCACTTCCTGCAAATAGGTATTTTTCTAGTAAACATCTCTAGGCCTGTACTCCTTGGAACATCTTCTACAGCCTCTCAGATAAAGCAACCACAGCACTTCTCGCAACAGCCTTTCACGAGAAGGAGTCCAGTGAGGAGCTGAGACAAAGGCGGACAAAATAGGAATTGAAGAAAATAACCTGGGTGACAACATCCATCTAACAAATAAAACCTGCAACAACGCTTAATACACAATCTCAGTATCGGCCTCTACCATCTCTTTGTAACTGCTGCATATGCTAACCATGCACAAGCAGAGAACAAGAACATATGTCTAAAAAAATTGTCACTGCTACTTTAAGAAGCAGACAATCAAAGCGTGACAAACAAGGATGCTTTCCTCCACTGAGGGGGCTAGTAGTGACACAATTTGTAATATGACACTGAATTGCATATGTATGTATGTGTGTATATATATACACACACACACACACACAAATATATATTCCCAAAAAAGGCTTAACATAACCCTTCAACTCCTAAGGAAAGAGACCACTTCACAAGATCTATCATTTCATATAAAGTTAAAAATGCCAAGAGAAATTCATAACCTAATGTCATCACTGTATTTGAATGTTAGAGGCTTCTCTGAAAATCGTACCTTCAAATCTCAATTCTGGCTCCTCTTTTTCTCTCTCTCTTTACAGGTAAAACAGTTGATTAAGAATCACGCAGAACCTTCAGTATAAGTTATATCTTGTCAAACTCACAATCCAGTATGCATTGAGGAACTATATGGTTCTTAACTGAACAAGTGGAATTATGCTGATAAAAATAAGACACTGTGACCACCCAACCCATTTTATTGTGGAATATGCCCAGCAAAAATAAGAGCTAGTGTTTAAGAAATCTGAGGCATATGAGTGTGTGAGAAGGTAGAATTTGTTTTCTCTGTGGGCAATGAATCATCTGTTTACACAGGCTTCATCGTATTTATGCTGTTCAAATATTTATCTACTAGACTGGTAACAACATCAGAGGAACAAGTCAGACAACTATTTATAGATAGATGCTGTATATAAAAATGTATGATTAAGTTACTCTGCCAAATAACATATTTAGAATGTTTTTTTAAGAAAAATCACATTGGATAGACCAGAAACTATTAATTTGATTTCCAGGACTCCTGTCCACACAATGACTTGGAAATAGCCATTTCTGAACACTCCTTTGTTGACCCTCTTATTCCTGAATACACGTGTTCACTTATTAAGTATATATTTAACACTGAGTGTTCTCTCCAGCATCAGCATCCTCTCCGCAGAAAATCTTCTAATAAATTTAGGTGATGTTTTGATCTCAGCTAGCTGAACTATAAAAGTTAGTATTTGGCCCTGAACAAGACAGTTAAGAAACACAGATCTCCTGACTTCTAAATATATTTTATTGCATTAAATAGACATCATTCAGGCAGGAGAAAATGGGTTTCTTGCGCATATGTTTTATCAGAATATTTGTCTGTCAATTCCTTACTGAAAAGGATATCACGCACCCTGAACAGTATCTTAAACCATGTCTTTTTATTGCAACATCTACGCACAAAGCCACTGACTGACTTTACATAACTAATGGTAGCTGGAAGAAAGAAAAGAAAATACCTAACTAAAAGTTGCTGAGTTTTATTGCAAAAACGAGATGCAAGTGATCGCATGTTCTAGACTAATCCTTCTTACAGTCCATTTCAAGTCTGGCATGCTGTGACCACGCTTCGTTGTTACAAATACCAGTTTTAAAAATGAATTTATGGTAAATTACTGCAGAGGCCTGCCTGGGCACCTCTTAGCAGAAGCCTAAAGGTTCAATAGCATCATAAAAATGTGAAAAGAAAAGGAAGTTAAAAGAATTAGAAAGACCAAGAATTCCTATTCCCATACAGCCATCGAAGTAACAAATGCATATATACACTCTGGTTCTTATTAAAGTCAATAATCTGTTGAACATTTGTACATGTCCATGTATTGAAAATTTATGAGAAACTTAAAGTTATTTACTGTTAGAGAATAAAGTACAATGTAATTCAGTCATTAAAACCAAAAACAAAAGAGCCTCCGAAGAAAAACCCTTAAGCTTTTAAGAATGAAGACGAGATTACTGGTCTTTACAGATTACAGACTACCCTTCCCCATTCATTTAATACTTTTTTCAAAAAGGTGAGTGTTTTATATTAAGTAGACTAAAATCAGTGGCTTGCAAGCTCCCATCTTGGCTTTTGCACTAAGAAACCTATGCTTTCCTCTGCTGCTAAAGGTTCTCTAAGACAATACAGTAAATATATTATACTATGCTAGTCCGGTATATTATTCAGGATAAACCATAAAGCTACCTTCAAACTGTGAATCACAAATTCACACTTTGCAATAGCATAGATGTATTTCTAACCTTCCTACAGCCTAACAGCTCTCCACTCAACTGTCCTTGACTTCCAGATTGTACCAGGCACTCGCAGACTTCATGCACTGTTCCTGGGAGGTTTCACACAGACTCTGCATATACATATACAATGGCTCCGAACACACACAGCAAATCTGCCACTTCTTCGAACCATTATGTTATTTTGCTAATAAGCCTCCTGGGTCTGAGAAGCACCAGAAGCAAGCTGCTACCACCAGGACAACTTATTCAGCTGACTCCTAAGCACCTCTCAGATAGAGCACAGTGTGAACAGGTGCACCAGATCCAGTCACAGGATCTACAGGACACAACCTTCTTTCAACAGTGGAAGAAAGTATGGAGCAAATGATCCAAATCATTAAGACCATTTCTTAAACAGAATCTCAGACCCAGCAACCCAGCCCCAAAACTCCCACATGCAGAAACCCCTCAAACACTTAACAATGTCCTTTTTAAATGTCAGAACAACAGCATCTCATATAAAGCAGTATAAAAATAAAGCAAAGACATTAAATACAAAACAATAGTGAGAACCATAATTCTATTATTTGTCTACTTGTTTCAACATGCCACATCACAAATTCAAATATGGTGCTAGAAGCAGCTATTATTTTTCTTAAGCTAATTGATTCAAGAATAGAAATAACTGTAGAATTTAACAGAAACCAATACTCACACCTACCAACTCTGTCAAGTATTATTTATGTTTAGAAGAGTCCTAACTTTCACTGAAAAATGACAGATTAAGGAAGGAAAGAACATATCTCACCAACTGTGTCCCTAAATAACAGGTGTTTCTCAAAGGAAATTATGGTAATAATGGCATCTACTTTGCCAGAAGAACTTTAAATCAGAGTAAGGAAAAATACCAAATTCCAGCCCAGGTAATAACATTCACCCAGCTGTTGAGTTGGGATTTTAGTTTTAGATAAATTATTTCACATTTACCCCGAAAGACAGACCTTCAGCGTCATTTGTACAAAACAACTATTACTGTACACGTACCATGGCTTCCCTTTCGCCTTGAGTTCTGGAAAAACGCTAGTGTCTTGGGTATAACACGAGGCAGTAAGAACACAGCACTACAACAATGTAGGTGTAAAAAGCTTTGGAGTTTAGGTAGATGACAGCAGTAAGAGTTTACTTATTTGACTTACTGGAAGGGGACTTTTCAGCTTTTCAACAGCTGAAATAAAATCAGTCTAAGTCACTTATAGTGGATTTGTATAGATTAATGCTGACATATTTGACACAAACAAGTTATATTTATTGGAGAAACATTCAGTTTTCCCTAACATCACAACACACACAAAAAAAAGACTTCTGTCTTGTTCCTCCTGCTCTTTTCTATGCCTGTCTTTCTTCTTGTAACAAACAGTACTTGCTTAGGGCAGAATACTGCATGCTCTTTAAAAAAAGATCTCCTTTCCTTGATTATATAACCAAATTTAAAATTTAAAACCTCAGTTAAAAAAAATAAAAAATAAAGAGAGCAACATTAAGGTTGAATCTAGTTACTTGAACTAAACGCACATTTTTCTACCACCACAGAAATATCTTTAACATTCAGCTTTTAGGGACATAAAACTTCTATGAAAACAAATGTGACACCCAGTTCTGGAGGCAGAGATACCCTACCATGAGGGCTCCTAATGCACTTTAAAGATACGAGAACGAAAGAAAAGGTGAAGATCTTTCATATTTCACCTCTACCCTAGCAGAGGCGTCAATTCTGACGATGCGTACGCACATCAGCTAAGTTTTGCCTTACATAAATCTCGCAACCATATTAAAATAAGCTCTTAACAACAGCTCAGTAAAAACAGGGTGTTCCCCCAGAAAGGGTAAGGGCTCCTGCGAGCACCCTTTCCGAAGGGCGAGCCTAACTCTCGCCTCGGACTCGGACACCCTGGCAGGCAGGCTCAGCCCGACCCCGCGCAGCTGAGCTACCTGAGCGGCCACGACTGCGACGCCTTGTTCCTCGAGGCTTGCAGCAGCC